AGTCGGGCGGGTGGCGGACCATGCTCTGCTCGACCGCCTGACTGCAAGAGGGTCGTTGCCATGCCAACTGTGAGAAGGGAACAAGTAATTTGGCAGGAAACTGAGCTTGCTCCAGATGTCCTCCCTAGTGGATGGAAACCAGTACTTTATCCCTGGGTGAAAGCAGCTTTAGCATAAACTGCTCCCCAAACGCAAGCAGCTCTCCATGTGTCTGTAAACCCCTAATTGTCAGTAGTTTCCAAATTCCCAGTAATTCTCCTTCAGACTTTGGCAATGCTTTCTCCAGGTGATGCTAGTTCTTTAGGTATCAAAACCTCTCTCTCTAGGTGCCTATAGCCCATCAGGTATCACTCTCCAGGTCTCAGTCACTCCCTCTCTCTCCAGGTCTCAGTCGCTCTCTCTCCAAGTTTACATCACTTGCTCTCTCTCTAGGTGTCTATTTGTCAGTCTCCCTCCAGATATCAGTCACTCTCTCTCCAGGTATCTGTTGGCATGGGTGTAATTTCCAGGGGGGTTAGGGGGGTCATGACCCCCCCCCCCCCCAATAATCAGATCCAGCCAATATAACCCCCCCAATAATCATGTTTCCTCTGTAATGGGTGGAGACGTCAACCCCCCCCCCCCCCCAATGTTCCAGCCAAAGTTACGCCCTTGTCTGTTGGTCACTCTCTCTCCAGGTGTCAGTTACCATTTTGGCTACTGTGAGATGGCACAAACTTGCATGGTTTGCCCATGTTAACTCCCTTGACTCTCTGGCCAAGACCATAACATAAAACATAAAACCTACAACATAAAACCTGGCTTGACACTGTCAAAGAGTGGACTGACTGTCCTTTCCATTATGGGATTAGTAATAGTAGAAGTCACGTCAGTCCCACGTCCACCTTCAGTCATCCTCTCCTGCATTGGATTCACTTGCTTGTTTGCATGCATGCATGTGTGGCCATGCATGTCCCATGCTGAACCAAACATCCTGCCATCACTCTAAAAGATGAGGGCTACAGACAGGGACTACAAAATGCACTATTCAGTTGCTGAAATCTGATACCTAATCAGTTTCCTTCAAATGATCCTACAGCTAGCAGACGATACCTTGTAATTACAACTGATTAATGTCCCATTAAAACCTGTGATCATCTTCTTATAAGCTCAGAAATGACTGATAATATCAGGATCATGGTTCAAATATCGATCCATCATCCATCCGTCTGTTTTTCGCAGATCAACAGCTCAAGCTCATGGTGCATCTTACTATCCTATCATGGGACATGAGGCACAGGATGAAAATTCAAACATATGACACAAGGTTTACTATTTGTCAAGTTAAAGTGATTCATAATGATATATATCCTTTACATGTGGTGTTAATATGTTTTAATAACAATAGAAGACATAAATGAACAACCCAGTACCCATGGTAAATTTAACAAAGAGTTGAATAGCGTCATGGTTAAATTGCATAACCCAAAGGTCAGGGTAAACATAACCCGCAGTTTGGTCTGACCAATATCCACCTAGCGCCGGGATGCCAGTTACCCTAGGTTAGCTTGTTTTTAACCCAGAATTTTATAAAGTGCATGATGTGTGCTGCCTGCTTATGACAGGATTTGCTTGACTAAGGTGTGTTTGCTTAATTCAGGTTCCTGTCTATTTTTAACAAAAATGTTGGAGCATGAAATCTGTTCCCCACTTGGAATGAGGTTATTACTGGGCAAAGCCATAGGTTTGCTTTCAACATGGGCCTCCCACGATATTGTTAGGGACGTGTCCCTACTGTCTATACACAAATCTATGCCCTTGGAACTGGGGTAATGTGATATAAGGTGGGCTTTTCAAGAAAGCCTTGTTTTAGCTAGTGGAAGGTCATGTACAGCATTGCTGGACCATATCTCTCCGGTAACAATTGATTGTTGGGCATCTCCAAGGACAGAGATAGAGTTATGCACCATGTCCTGAGCTTCCTGGGATAAGCTCCAGTCTCAGTGTTACCCTTTAACATGATGATACATGCACCCATCTTCCACAACCATTTATACTTTACAGATCTGAGGTGAGCCTAAAGTCTGTTCTAGGAAACACAGGCCATGTGACACCCTGGATGGAATACCACTCATTTGCATTACACACACACACACACACATACACAATCACACACCATGGGCAACAACACTGACTCACTTAACTATGGGAGGAAACCAAGGGAGACCCACAAACACAGGGGGAATGTGCCAGCAGGGCGAGAAGGGACTGGATCCTTATCCTGAACCCTCTAACCATGAGGCTACAATCATACCAACAGAGCCACCATATACCAAGAAATATATTTCATGACACATAAGGGTGGCACAGTGGTGCAGTGGTTAGTACTGCTGCCTCACAGCAAGAAGGTCCTGGGTTTGGTCCTGGGGTTGGGTGTAGGTCCTTTCTGTGTGGAGCTTGTATGCTCTCCCTGTGTTGGTGTAGGTTTCTGTTGGGGCTCTGGTGTCCTCAGACAGTCCAAAAGTGTGCATGATAGGTTGGTCGGTGACTCTAAGTTGGCTGTAATGGTGTGAGTGTGGTGTGTTGGCAATTGCCCAGGGTTGGTTCCTGTCTGTGCCCATTGTTCCTGGGATAGGTTCTGGTGACCCTAGTTGAGATTAAGCAGTTATGGTGATGGATGGATACCACATAAAGCTATGAGTTATTATAGCTTATCATATGTGTTAATGCATATTAACAACTGGAGCCTGTACTACAAAGCGGGGTTACTGGCTTATTGGGGTAACTTGTCGGATTTAAGGTAGTCTGGGAAAAAGGCAAGTGAGTGAATACGAAGTCCAATTAAACTGCGGTACCGTAAATCCAACAAGTTACCCCGATAAGCCAGTAACCCCACTTTGTAGTACAGGCCACTGGTCTGTGCAAACTAACATAAATAAGGTACATAGAACTGTAAAGCTCTATGACTTTTCTGTAGAACCTGAATGGCTCCAGCAAACTATCAGTGTAAACTGAAAAGGTCACAGAAGTATCAGCTAATTTAAAATAAAATAAAATAAAAAATCAATATATATGCAATCAATTCCTTGTTACTTCCTATATGACAAAATCCTGAGGACTTTCCTGAAAACTTCCCATAAACAAAGTTATTTGGGAAGTCAAGGTCAAACTCTCATTTAATTTCAGCTTCATTTATACATGAAATTTATCATTTAAGCAGTGTATCAAACAAATGCTCAGCTGGGCATCCAACGGTCACGCGGCGAGGGTCCAGTACATCGAGGTGAACATCAGCATAACACAGCACATAATTATTATAATAAATCTTTAGCTATGGCTACCCAGGTGCTCTAGAGGTGGATAATGAGCTCTGAAGGGCATAAACGGACAGCGATGCCTCACATAACTGCATTGAATGCCTGTATCTGGCACACACGTTTTTAATATTAATGAATAAATGCTATCTAAAGCTGCATTCAGAAACTCATTTAACGCATCAAAAGCAATATCAAACTCCACCGTTACCCAGCAATTTCCCCCTGCAATTCAGAAAAGTAAACGATATATACTTTCCATTTAAAACCCTAAAAAGAAAGCAGAAACTCATATTCTCTGTTTTCAAAATTATCTGTACATTTAATGTCTTGTGAAATCAATATTTTTTTAAAATGCATTGAATTTTTACTGTTCATTGGCCATGAGACTAAATGTCCACAAGATGGCGGTAATCTTTTATTTCAATATCTTTATCACTGTAAAACTAAAACCTATAACTTGGAAAATACGATTGACTTTTGAAGACCTGTTTTCTGTCATACTATTAAGCGTGACTGATTTGCATCTGCAGCCAATGGCGGTGGAATCACTCCATGTTCAGAATGCATGTTCTGCATTAATCGGTGTCAGCAGTTAGCGTGTATCAAATGCACTAAAAGGTCTAACCAGTTCTGTTCCTGCGTCAGCCAGGGGGGGTTAACACAGCCTGTTAAGTGTGCGATGTCGGCTTCCTGCAGTTGTGCCTCGTGTAGTAGGAAGGATCCCTAAATAAACCTTGCAATCGACAGCTTTATCGCGCTACTGTATCTGTCTTTATTCAGGTGCAGTTTTTAAGTTAAATGAATTATAAATGCCAGATCTGGATAAATGACTGATTACAGCAGGGGAAAGCCACGCCTAGCTATTGTGCCACTATCTTGTTCAGCACACACAGATTATAGTAAAGTATCTTTATCGTATGATATCACTCGCTTCCCCCTCCCAGAGACTCGCCGAAAACACCTAACGTTAACAAACCTTGTATTATTTAAATTTAATGAAATCCATTTCGATCTGACGTTTTTTTTTTTGTGCATTTGGTTTTACGGTATTGGTACTCGGCGTTATTCTCCTGCTGCTACTTCACAGTTATTTCAGTAGTGTTACGTAAGTACACAAGATAGGTACGTTACAGTACCGTGCTACAGGTCCATTATCAATTTAAGAAGAAACAAATAAATGTTAAGGAAAAATGCCTCCGCTTATTTATTTAAATATTATCAATGAAACGTTATTTTGAAATCTGTTTATAATTTTAAAATTTACTGGTCAGAACCATTATACTTTGTCACATTGGTACAATAATATTATAAAGATCAACGAACAATATGGGGCAATTATTTGTACACTACATGAAGCGAAACTGAGTATTTCAGTTAAGGGCCAAGAACACAGTCCGTAGATTTTAAGGCAGGAGTTCAGCTGAAACTTGCCAATGGCGATTATTGATGTTTCCGTTTGACTCTTTCATTGCATCGAATCCAATGTACAGCAATGCTAACAAACACTACCACAACAACCCTGGGGGGACTTTGAGCCAAAATGGCGGGTACTTCTCCGGCCAAATGAACTCGTCACCTTCAGACTTTCCCATGGAGACGAGTCGGAGTATTGAGTGACACATGGTGTGACCAATCATGGAGCGAGGCATTCCCGACGCCACTACTGTTGACCAGTAACAAACGGAGGGTGGGATTATTCATGTACCGCTTCAAAATGGCGGATGCTGTTACTGTGTGAGATAGGGATATTGAGTGGGGAAAAAATAACTTAAGTAATTCGTGCAACGGCAGTCAAAAGTTAATTTATGCGAATGTTAAAGTATTGAGTTCTTTACTTTTCCAAAGTGGGATTACGACTGTAAAAATGAAAAGCAAAGAGCGGTCGCCCGTGAAGAAGCGCTCGCGGACGTCGGACGATACCCGAGACAGAGGAGGAAGCCACCCGACCAGTAAGAAAATGGGGACTCATTCGGTTTCGGGCGGCGGCAATGGCGAGAACAGTGCGGCTAAAGGCGAGGGGAGTTCGGCAAGAAGGAGCTTAATCGCCGAAAAGAGGGAGGGCCGCGATTTCGACGGACACGGTTCCAGTCGGGTCGGCAGCAACGGAGCTGCTAGCTCGAGCGGCAGGAACCACACCAGCCTCGCGCTGGATCCCAGTGCCGCCAGGAGCAGTTCGCGCGGGGAGCCGCGGCCTCCACTCGCCAGCACGGAAAGTGAGTACAAAACCCTCAAAATAAGCGAACTGGGCTCGCAGCTGAGCGACGAGGAGATCGAGGATGGCCTCTTCCACGAGTTCAAGAAATTCGGGGACGTCAGTGTGAAGATCAGCCGGATAAATGACGAGAGGGTCGCGTTCGTCAATTTCCGGAGACCCGAGGACGCTAGGGCGGCCAAGCATGCCCGCGGGAGACTCGTGCTGTATGACCGCCCTCTGAAGATCGAAGCTGTGCTCCTGAACCGCAGGAGAAGTCGATCTCCCATCGAAAAAGACACATACGTCCCTCTTTCTGCACACAGGCATTTGCACACCCAGAGACCGTTATCCCCCACCGGGCTTGGATACAGAGACTATAGGCTGCAGCAGCTAGCACTGGGTCGCCTACCCCCACCTCCACCACCACCTCTGCCCAGAGACCTGGAAAGAGAAAGGGAGTTTGTTTTCTATGAAGCCAGGGCACGCCCTGCATACATGACTGAGCGGGCGGCGTACAGGGAGGAGGACCTCATTGCTCCTGAAGATGACCAGAGGGCCAACAGGACGCTGTTCCTAGGCAATCTGGACACCTCTGTGACTGAGAGTGATCTGAGGAGAGCGTTTGACCGGTTTGGAGTGATAACTGAGGTGGACATCAAACGGCCCACCAGGGGGCAAAGCAGCACGTATGGCTTCCTGAAGTTCGAGAATCTGGACATGGCACACCGGGCCAAGATCAGCATGGCTGGCAAGGTGGTGGGCCGCAACCCCATCAAGATTGGCTATGGCAAGGCCACGCCCACCACCAGGCTGTGGGTTGGCGGCCTCGGACCCTGGGTTCCCCTGGCAGCATTGGCCAGGGAGTTTGACCGTTTCGGCACCATCAGGACTATTGACTACAGAAAGGGGGACACGTGGGCTTATATTCAGTACGAGAGCCTGGATGCCGCTCAAGCCGCCTGCACCCACATGCGCGGCTTCCCCCTTGGGGGCCCAGACCGGCGCCTTAGGGTAGACTTTGCTGACACTGAGCACCGTTACCAGCAGCAGTTCCTGCAGCCGCTGCCTCTGCCGCACTATGACCTTGTAGCAGAGTCCTTCCTCCACCGTGCTGGTCCAGAGGCTCTGAGAGTCAGAGAGAGGACCCCGCCGCCACTGCACTTCAGGGAGCGAGAGCTGTATTCTGCTGCTGAGTGGCCAGGCCCAGCTGCCCGTGAGCGTGTGCGGGTGGCAGCCCTCGAGTCCCTGGAGCATCTGGAGCGTGAGCTGCAGAGCCGTGACGCCGCCCGCAAGCGGCGCCTCCAAGAGGACAGTCGACGTCTGGAGCACTCCCCAGACGGCGGTGAGCGTGCGCGACGGCGACGGGCCCCTTCTGCCGAGCAGAGCCCCGAGGGGAGCAGCCGAGACGGGGGCCGCTATAGCGACTCAGAGCGCCCCCTGCGCCCCGACAGACTTTCACCAGCCAGAGAGGAGCGTGAACCTGTGGAAAAGAGGCCGAAAACCCAGCGTCCCACAGAGGCGTCTTCAGCCACACCTGCCGGATCATCTGGAGCCAAGCGCAAAGTCAGCGGCACCAACAAGAGCCCAGCTAAGAAGGAAGAGAGGGTGGAGCAAGGCTCCTCCAGGGGGGGACAACAGGCAAAGCAGGAGGCTGGAGGAAAGCTGACTTTGGCCTGGCAGGGCATGCTCCTGCTGAAGAACAGCAGCTTCCCATCCAGCATGCACCTCCTCGACGGGGACCTGGGCGTGGCCACCAGCCTTCTCCTCGACAGTGCCACGGGCAGTCAGGTGGCCCAGCTGAAGATCACACAGCGTCTCCGCCTGGACCAGCCCAAGCTCGATGAGGTGTCCCGACGCATCCGGGCGGCCGGTCCGGGTGGCCACTCCGTCCTGCTGGCAGTCCCGGGCGGCTCGGAGGACGGCTCATCGCCAGACCGGGCTGCCTCTACTCAGCGGCCCCTGCGCAACCTGGTCTCGTACCTCAAGCAGAAGCAAGCAGCCGGAGTCATCAGCCTGCCCGTGGGCGGCAGCCGCGACAAGGACAACGCGGGTGTTCTTCATGCCTTCCCTCCCTGCGATTTCTCTCAGCAGTTCCTGGATTCCTCAGCCAAAGCTCTGGCCAAAACGGAGGAGGACTACCTGGTCATGATCATTGTCCGAGGGTCATCCTGAAACTGGGGAGAAGGGGGGGGGAGCCTTGTCCTCTATCACAGCACTGCATGCACTCTTCTGTGCATTTTGGGTTATAGTATCATTTTTCCGAGACGTTCATTCGTTAAATTACTGGTTTAAGAGTAATAGCAAGTCGGCTTCCATTACTGTCCAATCAAGGCATTTGAAATGGATAATAGCAATTACATCCAGAAACCTTTTTAGACGTTTCAAAGAAGTCAGTGTCACTTAAATGTAAAACCCTGCAGTTTGGTATATTCCAAAAAAGCGAATAGTCATCACAGGAGTTAGTGGAAAGCAAGTGTATAGTCGCAGGCCTGTTTCTGCATGTCTGTTTAAGCTGAACAGTTATGATGCTGAAAGTCTTTGTTATAACTGCCCTTTACAGGTTCTTAAATTTGATGTTCAAGCATTAATATGGCTAGAAACATAGACTGACATAGATGTAATGAGCCAGAGAGAAATTGTAATATTGCACATTCATTACAGGATTTTTTTATTTTTATACAAGTACATCTTATTAGGAGGTCTTAGTTATCGTAATGATTGTCTCTCCCAAAATGCATAGGTTACTCCGTTTTTCCTGTAGACTAGCCATTCTGTCCCATAAGGCTGTACGTGCTGGTTCTCCTGTCATTGTCATGGCCATAGGCCATCGCTGTCCACGAATGAATGCGCGACTATACACTCCTCCTCATGTGTTCTATAACACAAAAGAGCAGGTTCCAGACACAGCACCTGAGTGAAGTAAGTGTAAGAGCAAAGTGAATTTTTTTTTTTTTAATGTTTTATATATTTTTTTGCTAGGATGATTCCCTTATCTGATGCACAGTGCAGTGTAAAATTTCATGTCAAATTACCTTCAGTTTTAAGGTTTGTTCATCAATTTTTGCATGAGTCAGGTTTTGGGGAGTCATTAAAATTGTTTAGGGATTAAAAGGGTTTTCAGATGTAACTCTGAGTAGCCAATCTCTATTTTGATTGACTTGATAGACCCCCGGCTTGTGATAACCACAGACCACCAAGGGCAGGTATATGGCACAGCCTTCTGATTGAGAATTCAGTGAATGGTTGTGATCCTCAGTTCTACACCTTGAAAATGGAAAATGTTTATGGAATGAATCAAATTGATTGTTTTTGTAAATGATGGTTCTGTAGAGACCAGGGATGTGAAGTTTCCTGTGTGTGTACTGGTTTTCCATTTACCTGTCATTCGTAATCCACTTTACTATTTAAATTTTCTGCCTAAATACGTGTATGAAACGTGTTTCCCCAGAAATATGGCAGCAAGCATGAAATATACTTTATGATAACTGAAATACCAACATTTTAAGGCAAACAAATTCCATATGAGTCAGGAGGTTTCTGTCCTGCAGTTGGCAGCTCTGCAACTAGGTGGCACTATCCCATACAAGTGTTTTGAGTTAATCCCATGGCTCATATGTTGCGAATGAAAGGTCGCTTGGAAAACCCACTTATTTTTGCTGCAAAACATGTTCTTTACATACTTGCTACTCACACAACTTTGTCTTGACTGTGCGTTGTAGTAAGACTGTAGTAACAGTTAAAGGGCATCTTGTCCTGCCTTAGGAGGGCTGAGGACTCTGCAAGTTTTGTCTTCCAGTGCTCAGTTTGTTGTCAGGCACGTGGACAATAGCATTACCCATAAGGGTGAGTAGTTCACTATTATTTTGCTAAAATTTGTATTTAATGTGTTTAAAGCTGGCACACAATAAAAACTCAGACCCATCAGCCCTTCCGAAGGATACATGCATTTCCCTGATTCACAGGCAAGCACTGGAAGATTTCAGATCTGAGAGAGCTGTAGTAATCTCATCATCCAGTTTGTCTCCGTCTTCTGATTATGTGCCACCTGGTGTCCAAGAACCTTAATTTCAAATTCCTGTAAATGTAACCTCCAGTGAAGGTTAAAAAAGTGCAGCCTCATCTGCATAATAATGAATTTTAAGTATTTTTGTTATGGCCGTATCTGTGCGCAAACAAAATTCTCAATTCCCTCACAGTGGTACTTGTGCGTGTGTATATATGTATATAATTTTGTTTACTGTGTATCAGATCAGCAGTCACATAAACAATATGTGTTATGTATGATACTGTTGCCCCAGGTTCATTTGGCTTCTTTGCACGGACCATGCAATTTGTGATAATGAGGGGGGCTGGTCAATTTTTGGAGGGGAAGACTGAACATGTCCTCAGACCCGAAACTGCAATGAAATACGCGATCAAGTGGCAGATCAGCCCATTGTGTGGGTCTCCATCTGTGGCAATGGTGATGCCTTTTATAATATCCAGAAGAAATTGTATGCTTAAAAAAATACATATATAATCTAGGGCTGTTTGTTGCTTTCGGTGTTTACATTTGTCAGTAGGGGATACGATGCTGTTCAAAATTTTGTGATGTACTGATGTTAAAGTGGGTTTCGGAGTTGTCTGTAACCGAACTCTGTTGTGTTAAGGGATATATGTATTCCTCATGCAAAGCACTCTTCAGCTTCTCGTAAGGATTGCCGCCACTTCATCTGGGACGTCCAGTCGGCTCACAGCGGAGTCACCAGGAAGCCTCTCCCCATGGTTGGAAAGAGGGGTTCTCCGTTTTACTGTTGGCACATTCCCCTTGGGGGGACAGCTAAAAGTTCTGTAACTTCGTTTGTGGTGCCAATTCCCATGTGTTAAGTGGAAAAAAAAAAATGACCTTTTTGCTTTGTGCTGTGTACGCCCGATTTCTGGGAAAAGGTTAAGGAATCACCTTCTGCATACCTCTGAGGAGTGGCTGTTGACACGGTGTGCTTTCGCACACTCTCGGTTGGTTTCAGTCTCAATAAATTGTGTTTCTTTTGAAGAAAAAACAAAATTTGTTTCTGCCTCGGAAGTGAATTGAAGACCTCTATGTTGAGACCTTTTGTTGTGTTGCGGCGGCGGCATTGTTTCCGAGGGAAAGCGAAAGGCCCATCTTTGCAGCCCAGGAAGGAGAGGAAACCCCGAGCGTGGGAGAGAGCAGCCCTAGGAGCACCGCCTACCCTGTCCCCGTTTCGAGGTCTCCATGTTCTGACGGATGTGGGGGTGTTTCCCGGCTGTGTGACCTGTGACAGGGAGGGGCTTCTGGAAGATGCACTAGGTTGGACCGGTGCTGTTGGTCCAACAATTGCTTCGCCTCCAAGTCCCTGTCGTGTTCGGGTCAATGCAGTGCCTGACACGGAGCACCTGCTGCGTTGTTCTCTGTCCCAATTTGACCCCCCACCCTCCATTTTAAAACCGGAGGAAGCAAATTCCAGGGCTGCAACCTCCCTTTGATTTCATCTGGGGCTCGGATGGCCCAGGAGACACTCAGGGAGAGTCCAGAGGCATTTATTCAGCATTCATCTCCTACATAGACAACATTCTGGAAAGAGGGAGTTGTGCTAAAAGCCAAGCCTTGTCACCCCCTTCTTCTGGAATTCAACTTTTTTTTTGTTTGTTTTTTAATGACAAACTTATAGTTGTTTCAGCTCAAGGAATTTTCATCTCTGGCTTTGGCTGGGTGGCCTGCAACCTCCAACGCCCCCCCCCCCCCCCCAAAAAAAAAAACAAACAATTCATCATATGGTAGAGCCAGCTACACATATATTGCTAGAATACTAGTGCACCCACCCCCCCACAGGACAATTGGGAAGACAATGCCCTACACAGTATAGCTACCGTGCTAGTGGACCCTGATTCGACAGATACGATATACTGACTTCTCATGGCTGCTGTTTATTAGAAGTACGGCATAACTATAATTAGATGCAGCCTGGGCACAGCTATAGGGTTTTACAGTGTGATGCAAGTGGATTTGTTGAGAACCTTTGAGACTAGCATCCCTCACCAGACTCTTCTGCTTTCTCCTGCCTTGAGGGAGCCCAGAGCAGTGCAGGTACTGGGTATATCGGCTTCAGGTAAAAGAAGAAGCACGTTTATGCTGTCAGTTTTCTGCTGGTCCACAGGTAACGCAGTTGGAAAGGCCTCTAGGTGTTAGGTGATAATGTTTGGCAGTGTCCGGTAATATTGACGTATAGGGTAGATGATGGAGTCCATCAATGTTTCACTGCCTGCGCAGAACGCTGATAGTATGTCAGGCTTAATGATTAACAAGTCAGTGTGATTTTTACTTGCTTTTAATCCCCGTATGCTTATATTCTGACCTCATTCTGCAGAAGCGTAATCAGGGGTGTTTATCAAATGATAATGATGTGTGCTTGTAATAAGTTCATAGTTACGCCTGGTATTCAGGTCATGGCTTTTCAGGGAAACGCAAGCCATTGGTAATTTGGATTTATTCATTTAGAGATGACCTCTCAGTCAAGTAAGTGGTGTCTGAGAGATGGAATTATGCCCTGCTGGGAAGGCAAAGGAAATTTTTATAGATATTTGGCAATTCCAGCTAAACATATTTTTCCATAGGAATTTCTGACCCAGTCGCACAGACTTCAGTAGATACATCCTTGCTCTAAGCATCACAGTAACCTTGTCATTCTGACTTAAGATTAGTTCTTATTCTAACCTTGTCACGGAGATTTCCCTATGTTAACCTCACTAGAGGAATCCCCCTGATCTCAGGATGACTTTATTAGATGAATTACAGGGCTTTTTTCAGGTTACCTGTGTTCTGTTATCTTCATCATATGAATAACTGTCTGTTTTGTCTCATTTAGGCTCCCAGGTGAACATGCTTATCCTTTGTCATGGAGGGACAGGTCTTCCTAAGATAGTGCCAAACCATTTGGTAAGTACACAGCCATTCTATGAATACAGAGGCATACATATGTTTACCATGGTATAAAAAGGTATACATGTTATGCTGAAATAATATCCTGTACATCTTGTACATACAGCTCTGGGAAAAAAAATGAGACCACTATATTTTTCAAATATCAGCATTGTTAAATCCTGGTTCTGCTGGCCAAAGGCTAAACTGTGAGGCAGGTTGCTTCTAGGCTTTCTAAGATCGCAGTACACAACAACAATGTGAAGCAAGAGACACTGGGAATGACTAAAAACCAGCCAGGTAAAGGGTGGAAGCGACTTTCTAATGCCAGAGATGACCGTCAACTTATCCAACAGTGCCTCATGTATTCGAGGATGACCTCAAGTGACCTGGAAAAAGAATACGAAACATTAAATGGTGTGAAGTGCACTGCTAGGACAAGTTCATAACAGGCTCGTAGAAGCAGGACTGTAGTCCCATAAAGCATGGAAGAAGCCCTTCAGTGAGAAACAGAGAAGAGCCAGGTTGGAGTTTGCAAAAAAATTTATATTTTACACAGGTGCAAACCCATAAATTGAGAAACAAGTGAAACTAAAAAATTTATTGTGGTCTCATAATTTTTTCCGTGGCTGTATGAGTGCTTGTTTGTCATTTTTTTTTTACCCAGGAATCATTTTATATTATGCCATGTAATCATTTTTAATAAAGAGATTTTATCAAGATATTAATTTCTTGCTTCTTTTGTCATGGTCTGCTTACTGTGAAGAGACTTGATACCACCTTGATTTGTAAAGTGAATTGAAAATTGTAAAATGAAAGCGAATCACACTTATATGAAGCACCAATGACAGCTACTTCGGGTTTCAAACTTACTATAAATACTAAAATGGCGGCACATGCATGTAAGCTGGGTGCCTTGTTTTCACATTGCATATTCCTTTTTATTAGGCCTTGTAACACATGGGAAGAAAATACTGTACCTGCTGCTCTGGGGGCAACAGGTATAGCTATAGGGCTTCAAGAGAGGACTCTAAAACCCAACCAATGGAGAGTGAGCCTCTGTACCACACGTAGGTAATTTGTTGAAGGAAAGGGTTTGCCAAAATGGCCCCATTTATAAAGTTTTTTTTCTTCTGTAAGAACTGATTATTCCGTCACTTGTGGGTCTGCCCCATTTAATGTGCTTCTCACGTGACAAATCAGGAGGGGTGAGAACTGACATATTTCTCCTCCATGTTCGCTGTCAGCCACAAGCTTGTTGTCACAATCCAAAGACATTCTGTTCTGTTTAACATGGGAGTCTTATTGCTTAGGCGCTGATTGTGTGCTTCGGACTCCTTGTCCCATGCAAGTGATTTTTATATTTTTTTTATTCCTGATAGTACAGGAAAATGTTTTTTGTCCCATACAACCTACTGCTGTGTGTGTAAGAATGCAGCATGCCAAATCACATCCAGCTACATTCCAGTCAGTTACCTTATGGGTCAGTTTCAATACCCCCTAACGCTTTGCTTTGCTACATGCTAATGGAACGTTATAAAGGATATATGCCTCATTTTCAGATGGATTACTTTGTAAAGATGTAATCCATTGGACTGCGAGTGAGTAAGGCACACAGGGATGTCAGGAAATGGGGAGAACCTGCAAACTGCAGCGAGTGGAGGTGGCATTCTACCCCCCAAACCTGAAAGTGGAAGCCCCAGTACTACCTGCTTGCTTGTTAATTGTTTAAACTGCCAACTTTGGGTCAGACCTTTGTTTTCCAACACCACAACACATGCTTCTTGGTTCTGGAGCATAACTGCATTGTTTGTGACAAAGAAAACCACCAAAAGAAATAGTTGTGCAATATGTGTGCATGGAGACTTGGAACTTTTCAGACCAATGGGAGGGTGTTTTAATTATTTTATTCAGCTTTCCCTTTGTCTTTAGGTAAGCAGATTGAAATCTGGTTAAGATCCATAATTGTAGTTCTGAACATAGAGACAAAATATAAACACCCCACTACATATTAAAACAACATTCAAATTAAAATGATGAGAACAGATGAGCAACATATGTCCTGGTATTTTACTCAGTAAAAATGATCCTTTTCAATCTGTTGTGCTTAATTCCATATGTTCTCTAATTTTGCCTTTGTGATTTAAAGACCAGTCAACACCAAAGGAGCAAAAAAAATATAGAATCATCTCTCCAAAACAAGAATTACATGGATACGGTATATCAGCATAGTTTAGTGGAAAACAAAAGCTACTTGAAAATCAGCAAAATGAACTGCACCTGCTTGGAAGGACATTGTAATCATGTCTTGGGAAATAAATATTGTTCATGATATTTACACTGTGTCATATCTCAAAATTAAACATTTGTCAAGCTTTTACTCCTAGAATGGAACTTTATTGTATTCTTTGAAATAATGATCTATGACCTGTTTCAAAACAAGGTCACTGCCGTGATATAGACTCTTCTTTAACCCATTACAAGACAAAGTGACTGAACTAGGTTCTAGGAACTTGGTTCTCCACATGCGACCTGTTTGAATTTGTGGCCACAGTGTGAAGTGATGGTTTTCCTTAGTGACCTGTGGTCCCAGGAACCTCAGGTGAGACACAATCCTCCAGCAAGAAGAAGGGCTGGAAGATCAGGGAAGACAGGATGTTCATCTGTGAGAACCTGCAGTCCTCTGCTTTGAAGGTCAGTTCCATACAAGTGGACTGCAGGTTCCATGTGTAGCATGAACTCAATGTACAATAAGCTACTTCCTGTGTAGTCGGCTATGCAGAGGATAGCGATTGACAGTATCAGGTACACTGTAAATCCCCGTCATGTCACAGCTAAACCACCTGAACTGTATAAAGTGCTGGGATGATCTGTAGGATGGTATTCCAGATTGAAGACTGAATATACAAGAATACTCACCCTGGTTTTTACTTATATTAGCGCTCAGCTTCACCTTTGTACTTAGACCAGAGACTGTCATTGGGACAGTTTATTCTCAGTGGGTAAACTTGAGAATAAAACTGACTTGAGATCTGCCTTGTAGGCTTCCTCATGTACTGCCTGATATTTGTATTCAGGGGCACTTTGGCTGAGACTTCTGCACACCAGTTAGTCATCTGTCAGTCAAGAATGGAAAAAATGCAGATCCATTTTATATATGGCAAAAATTTAAGAAACTCCCTGTGACCAAAATAAGTGATTAGAAGATGGATGGTGTCACACCCCTCTCCGTCCACTCCTGATGTGTGCCACGCCCACCTCGTTACCTCGCGTTCAGCCCTGATTGTGATCATCTGTGTCCTGTTATGTCTAGCCCGTCTTTTGTATTTAGTCCTCGTCTGAGTCAGTCTTCCCCAGACTCGTCATTGTATTGTCCGTAGATGTCCGTCTTTCGTCAAATAAAACCACGTTTACCTGAAGTCCTGGCTGCAATTCGCCTGCTTTCCGGCTCGCCTGATCCCGAACGTGACAGATGGATATTTACGAAGCTGTACAATAATGCTGCATCAAACCAGACTATACATGTCCTTCATGGCAGCTATATCAGCCTGCAATCGGAAAGGAGAGCAGCTAACATAGTGATATTTATTTTCCAGTTTGATAATGACAAAAGAGACCACTAAGTACATGATGTACAGTCTCATGTCCTTAGAGCAGGGGTCTCAAACTCCAGCCCTGGGGAGGCGGAGCCCTACACAGTTTTTGGTTCACCCTCATTTAACACACCTGGTTCAACTCCTTGTGCTAATTACCACACAGCTCTTGAGCTGAATCATTTGTGGTGGAACAGGGAAAGAACTAAGCTACACAGGGCTCCGGCCCCCCAGGACTGTAGTTCGAGACCCCTGCCTTAGAGTCTATAGGTGAGCACTTTCTCAGAACATGTACTCTTCAGCTATTTAAGGAAAGCTAACCAAGCCAGTCATCTCAGTTCTATATGAGTGATGTTGCATTAATTCTTCTAAGGTTATACATCATTTTTGTGTTTTGTTAACCTCAATAAATACACTTCCTAGTGCTAAAATCAATGGGGAATGTAAAGTATTATTTCTTTATTTCATTAATCCATTTAATTTACTGTAGGAGAGGTTATATAGATAACACACTTTGCTGTATGAAACTCAGTAACGCTCATGGTGAATATAAAGTGCCCATGCAGCTAGAGCATCCATTATGCAAAAACGCACAAAAGATATATCCAGATAAAAGCAACGCTGTCAAATCCACCTTCCTAACTTATTAAATGTAAGTCATTTACAGTTAATCGCTCTGGCACGATTCTGCTCTCAATGTCACAAAAACACTAGATAAATATTATATTCAAGATAAGTGCTTTTGACCCGTTTTGAGGAAAAACCAATGTAATACATCCTACGGTCTCACTTACAGTTGTTTTCTTATCCTACTGATAAAGAGCTAGACTGAATAAACCAAGAGCCTGTATATAAAAGCTGGATCTGCAGTTTTTCCAACAGCTTTCCATTGAGTGGAGACAAGTATTCACAGCCATGATGAAGCTAGCCTTTCTGCTGTTCGCCCTGGTGGCCCTCTCCGAGTGCCTGCACAAGTAAGACCTTCATTCTATTGCTTACCATGCTTTCTTGCTAGCCTGAGTCAATGAAGGGTTTGGTTTAGGGTTGCACTAGAAGATTCTGTCTCTGATGTTCCTACAGGTTTCCCCTGATAAAGGGAAAGACCGTGAGGCAAAAAATGCAGGAGAAGGGTCAATGGGATGTCTTCAGGCAGAAGTATCCCTACAACCCCATGGCCAAGTTTGACAGCAGCTATGCAGTTGGCACTGAATCTATGACTAATGATGCTGATGTAAGTGAAACTAAGATTCCCTTCTGGCAATCTCAGAATGAATGATTCAATGAGCAAAGTTGCAATGCATGTATTAAACTTACTGTCTGCTAAACTGCATTTTACCCTTCTACCGATGCAGCTGTCATATTATGGTGTGATCTCTGTTGGAACTCCCGCCCAGTCCTTCACGGTCCTATTTGATACTGGCTCTTCTAACCTGTGGGTTCCCTCCACCTACTGTTCCAGCCAAGCTTGCAGTGAGTGAAGACTATTGCTGTTGTTGTAGATGAGATTTTGGGTATGGCCAAGACTTTGATGAAGTTCTAGAAGAGTCAAGCATTTGTTAAGGGGAGGTATGGTGGTGCTGTCATTAGCACTTTCTTCTCACACCTCTGAAACCAGGGTTCAAGTCTTCACCATGGCTCCCTGTGTCATCCTGGGGTTTCTTCTGGGTACTCCAGTTAACCCCACACAGTCCAAAAACATGCTAAGTTGAATTGGAATTACCAAATTATCCATAGACATGAATGGTGTGTGTCCCCTGCGATGGGTTGGCATCCCATCCTGGGGTTATTCCCTGTCTTGCGCCCGTAGCCTCCGGGAGTTAAGTGAGTACTGAAAAGTGAGACTGCATCCCATAATTCAGGAATATTTCGGCGTACAAACCAATGAAATCTGTTTTGCTGCATTTGGAGCACCATTCTTTGTATTTGGTACTTGTAACCTGCTAAAGACAGTAGTTCTGTATAAATATGCATGGCAGCTGCATTATACGCAAGTAATGCATCAAGTATATCAGGAGGCATAGAGATTGAGGACACAAGCATTCACAATTATAGGTTCAAGTTCAAAAATTCTACTGTTTCAGCAAGTTGTTCATTCTGAATTGCTAAAGACTCCTACGACAATGAGTAAAATAGTAGTGTTCTATATAAATACCTTCTTCAAGACATGAACTGCAGATGAAGACCTCAACTCTGTGCTGATCATTCACCAACTTCTATTGAATCTTCCCTCTAGCCAACCACGCGTTATTTAATCCTCAGCAGTCCTCCACCTACGAGGGCACCTCCCAGACTGTGTCCATTCAGTATGGCACTGGCAGCATGACAGGATACCTGGGATACGACACTGTTGAGGTGAGATTTGCAGGAGTTGTACAACACCCCAGCTTGTACGTCATTACCCCCTTTTGATGATGCGCTCCAACATACATGCAAACATCTAGCATGGTGCAGATAGCTAGCAGAAATAGTGCGTGTTTAGGAGAATAGTGTGTTGTGTCTTTCTGTTGTTTATTGGCACTTCAGCTAAGTTTCACATTTTGGACACTGATTAAAACAAGCCAATCATCCGCAACTTGACTCGAGGCCCTAGGGATCCAATTAAAACCGGGCTGTCATAACTGTACAATAATGCCACATGCATGGAGCTTCACTTATCTCAGTATTACATTGAAAACCTATTGGTCCACAGTATTAATGTTCTGTTTTTATTGAATAAGGTTGGTGGGATCACCATTACCAACCAGATCTTTGGTCTGAGTGAGACAGAGGATGACTTCATGTACTATATGGTACCCGATGGGATCCTGGGACTTGCCTTCCCTTCAATTTCTTCTTCTGGTGCCACCCCAGTCTTTGATAATATGATGAGCCAGAGGCTGGTTTCTCAGGACCTGTTTTCCGTCTACCTGACCAGGTGGGGCCAGATCATTGGTCAGATAAGCAGGAAATTATACAGCCAGGTCACCTAACATGACGTTTCTTTTTCAGCGATAGTGCAGATGGCAGTGTGGTGATCTTTGGTGGGATCGACTCTTCATATTACACAGGTTCCATTTACTGGATCCCACTGTCTTCTGAATCCTACTGGCAGATCAGCATGAACAGGTCAGTGTTTGGTCGGCTTCTTTTGGCATCAGGTTGTCAAATCTTCATATATCATAAAAAAATTGGTAATATGGTATATATTGGTAATGTGTCAAAAGTGAAGGGAACGAATGTACCTGTCTTTGCTACATCATGGATCATTCACACCCCCATCTAAAATTACTCTTATGGCAAATTTATACACTAATCTATGCTGTTACCCAGTCATCCTCTATGTCTACAAGCCATTGAAACATTTGAAATGATATGTACAATTTGTTAAGTGTGGGGGACCTTTAAAATTGTAAACTTTTCAGCTCACAGAAAAATTTTGCAATTCAAAATTCAGTCCAACCAAATGTAATTGGTAGGGCACAGTCTTCATGCAAGTTGTACCCAAGTAACTTCCTATAATTTATCAGGTTTCCCAGGAATTTAAGTACTGATGACCTTTGACCAAAAGGAAATAAAAACAAAATGCCAGTGCCAACAGAAACAGCTCATGACCCTGTCCCTCTAAAAGACAATCATATCATTTTCCTGGGAAACAATGTCTTTAGGAGTGTAAGGGACAAATTTGGCTGTTATGTGTTCATCAGTGGTCAACTGATCTCTTGCAGTGTGACTATCAATGGCAATGCTGTTGCTTGCTCTGGTGGCTGCCAAGCTATTGTGGATACAGGCACCTCCTACATTGTGGGACCAAGCAGTGACATTGAAAACCTCCTGAGCTCTTTGGGCGCTTCCGTGGACCAAAATGGAGATGTAAGTAACTTAGCCTGCACTACTTTGACCTTCAAATAATACTGCATGAACAAAAAATAAGATGGATTCTGTCCCGTAGGCATTCATTAACTGCAACAGCGTGGGATCCATGCCTGACCTGACCTTTACCCTTGGCGGATATGCCTTCAGTATCCCTCCCTCTGCATATGTTTCTCAGGTATGATTTGCACAACCAGAATTAAGCTTTACTCTATTAGATCTCAGTGGAAGATTTTACGGCTGTCACTTCACAATACCCATTTCCTCTGTATATATAACTGTAATGAGAGCAGGACCAGGCTACATTAGTGACAGAGTTATCAGATAGAAATCTGTGAGATGAGATTGAACGCTTAACACTTCAAGTAAAACCACGAGAAACAGAGATCAGAAAATTATACATAGCAAACATTTACTGTTCATCTGTTTCCTCCTGCCTTTCTTCTGATAATCTTTCTTTCTGTTATATCATTCCACCAATGACATGTTACTTACCACTAGAGAATAAACTTCTCCATTGCTGCCTTGTCTCTCCCTCTCAGAATACTCATGACTACAAGCCATAATCATCAATCTAGTCAACCGTTTGAATTATTAATGTTTGTTTTACTTTGTCATTATAGAATAGCAATGGATGCATGATTGACATTAGTAATGGTGGCAACAGCCAGCTCTGGATCCTGGGTGACGTCTTCATCAGAGAGTTCTACACCATCTTTGACAGGAGCAACAATCAAGTGGGTCTTGCTGTAGTTGCATGATGCAGCTGGATCAGCTTAATACTGTGTAAACGACATGACATGTGAAATGTAGAATGTCTGTATGTAGGATAACCATGAGAAACAGATCAGAATAGTATACAAGTAACAAACATTCCATCCATGTGATAAGTCAATGAATGCAAGCAATATTCCATTAAAGTGTTTCCCTTTGAAGACTGTCTTTATTGGCAAAAAAACAAGAAACACATAAGAGAATTAGCAGGTACCTTTTATAGATATTTAGACAACAGTCAGTAATCCATTATTATCACCAAAACATGCCTAATTAAGGACTGTTAATAAAGAGCATGATTTCACCGGCAAGCAAGTCTCCATGTCTCTCTCTGCTCCCACGATGCCTTGGTCCGCCTGTCGCCACACTATATTGTGTTTTTCTTAAAAGTTTTTACTATAAAAACCATAAAATTAATTTTAAAAAATATTATTTGGTAGGCTTGTGAACGAATTAATCGAATTTCAATGCTTTCTTAAGGGAAGAATTGCCTTGATTTGCGTACGAATTGGTTCTCAACCACTTTCCTGGAACAGATTGTGTTCGTGAACCACAGGCACCACTGTACTTTGTTGATCCCTGTGGGGAAATTCTCATTATGCTTACCCCAATTTGCTCTCTGTAGGTGAGAGCAAGCTGGCTGTGAAGAGCAGCCACCTGTTGTAGCACCAGGGAGCTGGGGGTTAAGGGTCTTGCTCAAGGACCTGTAGACATGCTGAGGCCAGCAATGAAGCAGTGACCTTCTGATCACAGGTGCTATGAGTGAGCCCACTGAGCCACACACTGCTGCTGTGATTTATGGGAAATTAGTCCATACTCTAGAGACAACCTCAAATTGTTAAGGACGGTGCCAGTGGCAGAAGCTAGGTCTGTTGTAAACAGTAATCATGGAAGGAGCCTATTTAGAGTAAGTGCATGATACAGCGACGAGCCAGAGAGAGAAGTTAAGGATGTAGAGACCAACAACCTTGAATAAGCTAATGGCAGAAGGTATAATGGAACACCTAAAGCACTCAGTCGTATACCCCAGGGCAATGATCATGTGAGTTAAAGTGTTCCTCAATGGAAACATCTCTCTGCTAAGAGGGTGGGCTTCATCATACATAATGGAAGACAGTTTGCACACCATTCACCCCTCAATCTTCATTTCAAAGCAGTGCAAACTCAGTCCTACTACAGAGCTACCTTTGCTTAAAAGTGTCTTCAGCCTACCAGTCTCCTGCTTCACACACTTAGGGACATTAGTCTCCTTGAGAAAACAGCCTTTTCTGCACTTTCTTCTGCAGTCTTTCTTTGTTGTCATGCCACTCTAGCCTGTCATTTATGTAGATACTACGTTATTTATGGGGACAATTTCTACAGTCTCCTTAGAGAAGGTGGCAGCCGTCAGAGGTTCCCTTCTGCACCTGAAGTCCTCATTTATCATTCTGAGATTGAGCTGAGATGTTTCTCCTTACACCAACCAACAAAAATCTCCACCAGACTTCTGTGCTCTTCTCTTCCTCCATTGAAACATCTCATAGTCACCGAAACAGGGAACTTTTGAGGATGGTATGAGCTCAGGCTGTGCAAAGTAAACGGGAAGGATGGCAGTACTGTCCATTGGGGTACCCTCATGTTAATAAAAGCCACATCAGATATACAGTCACTGATACAAACAAATTGAGGTGGTTTATAAAGGCAAACTGATCAGACAAACACGGCACTCTCATCCTGTAACTTTAGGGGGATCATACTCCTCAGTCTCCTTGGGAAAATCTATCCTGGGGTAATGGAGAGAAGGGTCTGGCCATTGGTCGAACCTCTGACCCAGGAGAAGCAATGTGGATTCCATCCTGGTTGTGGAATGCTAGACGAGCTCTTTACCCTCACAAGGATACTGGAGGTTTATGGGAGTTTGCCCAACAAAAACAAACCAACAGTGCACGCTGTGCCTGCATATGACCGTGTCCCTCCAGGGGTCCTGTGGGGGGGGGGACTTCTGGAGTATGGGGTGCAGGGCCCACTGTTATAAGCCATTAGCCCATAGTCAGTGAGAGTTTGGTTCGCATTGCCAGCAGTAAGTCAGACTTGTTCCTGGTGGGTGTTGTATTCTGCCAGGGCTGCCCTTTGGGTGACCGCAGGATTGAATCTTTGCTTTTTGCAGATGATGTGGTCCTGCTGGCTTTGTCCAGACATGCACTGGGGCAGTTTGCTGCTGAGTGTAATGTCACTGGGATGAGGATCGGCACCTCCAAGTCTGAGGCCATGGTTCTCGACTGGAAATGGGTGGAATGCCCTCTTCTGGTTGGCGAAGAGTAAGGATCTCTGGGTCTTGTTCACGAGTGACGGAAGAGTAGAGCAGGAAATTGGCAGGCGGATCGATGTAGTGTCAGTAGTCATGTGAACATTGCACTAGTTTGTTGTGGTGAAGAGAGAGCTGAGCTGGAAGGCAAAGCTATGGATGTACCAGTCGATCAACGTTTCTACCCTCATCTATGATCACAAGCTTTGGGTAGTGGCCAAAAGAATGAGGTCGTGGATACAAGCGGCAGAAATTAGTTTCCTCCACAGCGTGTCTGGGCTCAGCCTTAGAAATAGAATGAGGAGCTTGGACAATCAGGAGGAGCTCAAAGTTGGTCAAGAAGCAGGTCCGAGCATCCCTGCGACCTGGACCCAGATGAGGGGCGGAAAGTGGCTGGATTGCATCAGTAGTGAGTCATTAATTTGGGGCACTGGGGTGTCGCTCGCTTCCAAAAATCTAGAGAAGTAAGTATACTTAAACATGTGAAACATAAATGAATTAGACAAAATAAATATGAAAAAAAAATTGTTTACTCGTCAAATGCGGCTCGTAGTCTGTCGATATGCATTAAAAACTGGTTCCAAGTTGTATTTGATTAATTTCTGTGAATACACATATTTCCCGGTCAAGGGCGCCACCCAAACAAGCTAAAACCAAAGGATTCTAATATACTTTGTGCAAATGTCCAATAATATAATGTAAATATTATGTAAATATGTAAATATTGACATATTCAACACTTTGCACTGCCACCACTCACTTATAATTCTACTGTCAATCTTTAATGTTTGACACCCTCTTTTATCATTTTATATTTGTTTCCTGTTAATACGCAATATTAACAGTATTAAAGTATTAGAGTTAGTCAACCAAGCATTTTACTGCACGTTGTATTGAATATATCTATGATTGTGACAAAAAAACTTTGATTTGATTTGATTTGATTTTGATATCTTTGAAGGAAAATCCTAGTATGTTCTGCCACTTCTGGTACCTTAGGGTAGCTCTTATCATGAATTCAACTGAAGGCTTTGTTTTCTTATCCTACTGATAAAAAGCTAGACTGAATAAACCAGGAGCCTGTATATAAAAGCTGAACCTACAGTTTTCCAACAGCTTTCCATTTGAGTGGAGACAAGTATTCACAGTCATGATGAAGCTAGCCTTTCTGCTGTTTGTCCTGGTGGCCCTCTCCAAGTGCCTGCACAAGTAAGACCTTCATTCTATTGCTTACCTTGCTTTCTTGCTAGCCTGAGTCGATGAAGGGTTTGGTTTAGGGTTCGACTAGAAGACCCTGTCTCTGATGTTCCTACAGGTTTCCTCTGATAAAGGGAAAGACCGTGAGGCAAAAAAAAATGCAGGAGAAGGGTCTATGGGATGTCTTCAGGCAGAAGTATCCCTACATCCAGATGGCCAAGTTTGACAGCAGCTATGCAGTTGGCACCAAACCCCCAAATCTCAGAATGAATTATACACTGCGCAAAAGTTATGATACGATCTGTTGAGCACCAACATTAGCTGAAGGCATTTTTGGTTAAATTTTGGAGACTCAAAATAGAGTTTTGAACGTATGCTGCATTTTATAATCTCTGTGAACATTCCGTTGATAGATTTCAGAGCTAAACCTACTTTCTGCTATGGAAATCTGCTACATTGCTCTGCTGATACAGCTGTGATCGGCATTGAAATACTACCCTGGTACTTCAGTGCTGTTTTTGACACTGATGGAAATTTCCATCATACTCTGCATATAGGCACTTGTGTAAATGAGCAAATTAGTGGAAATGGGCTCTATTTTATTTAGTGTTTTAAATGAATACTCTCTTTATTGGGCTGTAGATGAAGAACTTGACTCTGTGCTGATCATTCACCAACTTCTATTGAATCTTCCCGCTAGCCAACCACGCGTTATTTCATCCTCAGCAGTCCTCCACCTACGAGGGCACCTCCCAGACTGTGTCCATTCAGTATGGCACTGGCAGCATGACAGGATACCTGGGATACGACACTGTTGAGGTGAGATTTGCAGGAGTTGTACAACACCCCAGCTTGTACGTCATTACCCCCTTTTGCATACATGCAAACATCTAGCATGGTGTAGATAGCTAGCAGATATCGATGTTATTGCACATGTGTAGCAGAATAGTGTGTTATGTTTCTTCATACTTTAAAAAATGTCTCTATACAAAACTTCATACTTTTAAAAATGTTTTACATTTTGATACTGATTAAAAGTGACTGTGTACTCGAGTGCCTGGTGTGTGAGTGTGCCCTGCGATAGGCTGGCCCCCTGTCCTGCCTCGTGCCCGTTGCTTCCAGGATAGGCTCCGGACCCCCCGCGACCCAGTAGGATAAGCGGGTTGGAAAATGGATGGATACTGATTAAAACAAGCCAATCATCTGCAACTCCAATATGGTAGACACTAGTATTACAATGTAAAGCTAATTAATGCAGAACAAAAAAGATACAAAACAAAAACCACAACAGAACACAAGAATGGCAAACTGATGACAAACAAGTAGGAAGTAAAACATACTGGGGAAACAGAAAAACCAATAAATACAAATAACAGATAAGGCTGACATCTGGCCAGCCTAGAAACCATGACCACTGGGTTAACACTTTGAGCCAAACATTCACCCTGGTGAGTGAAGCAGCAGTCCAGGGAACTGGAAAAACACACAATCATGATCAGACAAGTAATGACAAGACAGGATGGACTGCAACACCTACTGGCAAAATGTGGAAGAGACACAAAGGGCAGGGATGGATGGGCGCTGACCTGCAGGTCCACAGCATTAATGTTCTGTTTTTATTACCTAAGGTTGGTGGGATCACCATGACCAGTGGAGGCGGAGGGCAATTTCATGTAGTAAATGAAACCTGAAAATATTCTGAAGTGTCAATTGGAGGAGCAAGCAACATCCTTTGTATCTGACAGAGACAAACCACAGACAAAAAACCATAAGGGGAAAATATGTGTCGAACAGGCACTTGTCACTTTTAGGTGTTTCTTTGGCATGCCATCATCACTTTTTCTAGCAGCA